TTGTCCCAATTTAATGTTTCACTAAGAAACCTTTTGTAAATGGAAATTTTAAGAGATATATAATTGCAGATAATGTAGTATTGCTTAAATATCATGTGGTTCATGTTAGGCTGCTTACAATATTATTAAATGAATAATATGAGTTAAATTAAAATGAGTATTTTGTAGCAAATCAGAGATTCAGGTGTTTTTGTTTTTCCATGTCCCTGAGGAAAAAATAACTTTACATTGACAATCACTGATTGTTGGTCCCTTTATATTTATGGTACTCTCCATTATGTGTTAGCTGAGAAACAACCTTTTACAAAACTATGATGATGAGCATAAACTGGTTCTGGCTGTATTTTTTTTTTCTCTAACCTTAACTGGAATCTCTCATGGAGCTCATATTCTTGGCCTGTGCTGCTTTAATTTGATCAGGTGGACAACTGGGCTACCTTCTCACTTTCCTCCAGGCTAACTTCCCATATAGATAGAATGGCAAAAGACAGGATGGGTGAGCAAGATGTTTTGAGTTCAGAGAACAGTGCTGGCACCATGATCACTACTGTAGGGGTCTTCTAGTCAAGCAAAGACTATGGTCAACTCAACAGTCTCTATCTGTTAATGGGAGGAGATGCTAAGTCTTATAAAAGGCACATACAAAGGAAAATGACTATATCCAAGTTTTCACCATATTGCTTCTGGGATCTTTAAATGTGGCTTCTATTTTAAAGCTTGAGACTTAATAAATGCAGACACAGATGCTATTTAGTGCCATCTCTAATTTCCTGAGCATCTGCACTTTTTCCATGGATATGCATGTCCGTCCTCTGAACTAAATCCCAAAAATTGGAATGAAAAAGCTTTACTTTTTTGTCATATTTCTTTGTTCTAGAGTACAAAGGTTACTATTGATTAACCAATAAAACATTATTATATAAGATATTGCAGAGTAGTTTTCTCTCTAAAATATTATTTCAGCATAGGCAACCTAAACTTAAAGTTCATCACTTAAGCACAAATGTTCCAAAGATACAATTCATTGTTCTAAAAATTAATGCTAAGTCAAATGGGAGTTACTTATGAATGGAACTCGTTTATTGCATTATTCTTTTTTTTTTTTTGGGTCCGGTCGTGGGGCTTGAACTCTGGGCCTGGGCGCTGTTACTCAGCTCTTCAGCTCAAGGCTAGCACTCTACCACTCAAGCCACAGCGCCACTTCCGGCTTTTTTTCTTTTTGCTTATGTGGTGCTGAGGAATCGAACCCAGGGCCTCCGGCTTGCAAGGCAAGCACCCTACCACTGAGCCACCTTCCCAGCCCTTATTGCATTATTCTAAGCAGTGATAATGTACTAAAATAAAATAAATACTATCATGTCTCAAAATCATTCAGGAAATATATTCAGAAGGTTTGAAAAATCAGATTTCAATCAAATTTAAAGTCCATTCACACAAGGCACAGCAAATATATCAGCTGTATCTCCAGATTTTTTTTACTTTTACAACTAACAAAGTCAACAGAGCAGTTACATAATTTCAATGTAAAATACAGCTTTGGATGGTTTCATTTCTTTCTCTGATCTTACTCCACAGCTGTTGGCAATCTTACTAGAAAGTTTGTTTTCTGAAACCATCACTAGTCATTACTGTGTATTTACATCAGGCATTAGTTTATTAACTTGCCCTTCTGAGTTTCAGTCCTTTTTTTTTTATAGTCCTTCCCTCACCTCCCCCACTCTTCCCACCTCCAAAGTTGTAACGTTACTTGCCAACATAATATCTTGTGAGTATCATTGTTGCAATTTGTCATCCTGTGTCCTTGTTTCAACATTTTGTTATTCCCCTTCCCCTCCTCAGATTAGAAAAATGTATATATAAGAGGCAGGGTACCAAAATCAAATACAGTGACAATAGGTGATATACCATAGGGAGAAAGAACATACAGAAGAAACAAAAAATATCACAGTACATGTTTCTTTTCTGTTGACTTATTAGCTTGTTTGTAATGATCACTTTAAAACTAAATCATTTTTGTGGAAAAATTATCAGTTATATCAAAAAATATGAACAGGGAAGATTAAAACAAGTAAATTCATCACACCTGTACATGTAACATGAGGCAAAAAGTATATGTAATGAACATATTACATATACATATTCATTTGAACTATATGACAGATGCTATGTGTTTAGGTCACAAATGAATCAAGATTGCTGACTGTCAATGTATTTTTTCTGATCTATCTACACACATATATACATATGATTTCATGAAAATTTAATAAGAGAAGATTGCTAAAAAAATATTGCACAGAATTCCAGATAATAGTGTAAGCAACAGAAATTTAGGTCATTGCATTTATGAGATTCCTGGTCACAAAAGTATAAGAGAGCATCTCTAAGCAGATTATTTTGCTTTTCACTAGATGCTTTGTCAGACACTAGCTAAATGGCTCTCAAACATGTTTAGGGTTTTACAGTGGACCTCATTTTGCAAATGAAATTATTCTGTATTCTAATATGAAAGAGATGGATACAGTGAATATATTTTGATAGAAGCTGAAGTGTGAGCAATCTAGGTAGTCAGAAGTTTTTTTTCTTTCTTCATTTTCACAGGAGTGTAACAGTTAAAGTATAGACAACAAACCCCATTCATTAGGGCATTCTATTAGGATAGCTTGTGTTAAACTGTTGTATTGTACTCTGTTAAAACATTCTTTTATTTCAAGATAGAAATTGAAATATGTATTCTGATTTTATGAATTATTTTTACTTCAGTATGGCAAAAATTATTGCAAGTAGGAATGAAATGGGGGATACCATTGCTGGCAATGTGGTAAATGATAGAGTAGCATATACAAAAGCCTTTAATCTTAGTTTACTTTCTAATTATTTAAAGTATAGTGTTTCATTCATCAAATTGTATTATGAACACCTTAAGAAACAGAAGCTGTTTCTTATAACTTTCTCTCAGTTTTGTGCAGTGTTTTGCAAATTGTAGTCACTAGGTAAGAATGCTATACACAGAATAGTAGCTCTCTTTAACAATATCAACATAAACAGAATTGGAGAAGTGATCATAAACAGAGATCTTTGGATCTGTTTATTAAAGTTTACTGAAGTTTATTAAAGTTTAGACTGAATAATAAAGACACAGTAAACTAATGAAGCCAAACAAAATCTAAAAGAAAATTATGTGGTTATGTTGTTCATTGGGCTAAACTAAATATAAAGATATCTCATTTGCAAGTGCATGCATACTTAGGGGAAATTTGGGGAAACTGAGCCTTTATTAAGCTTGTTTTTTTTTTTCTTAGAAAGCACCAACAGAGGAATATGAGTTTGTTGGAATTAAAATAATAAAAATTAAGCAGCAGCCATCTGGTATTTGATGTTGAGTTGTCACATTCAAGATGCTTTGAAGAGCATAGAAGAGCTGGTCTGTGAGATGATGAAATTATAGGAGTAAAGATTTTTAATAACTGAACTCTATGGTTTTCATTTGTTGAGATCTCCAATTTAAATGTGTTATTCTCAACCTGTTATAAAAAACATCTGACACAATGAACTTTTACTATGACCCATATACTTCCACATTGCTATCTCAGTTTTCTTCAAAGCAAAATAAGCCAGTCTTAAAAAGATCATCACCATTATTTTTCATATGTAATCTAGTCCTACTATAAAAGTGGGCGAGTTTTGGGAGTGCCATCCCACGAAGAAAGGAGTGAGTAAAATGAGAAGATGACAAAAGATGAATAAGACCTCATAACTTTACATGCAAGCCTGAAAATAGAATCATTAAACCCGTTAAATTATTTATAAGGAGAGAGGGAATAAGAAAGAGAAATACAGGGTATGAATTTTATTTAAATACATTACAGGCATTTTGGAAAATATCACTATACACCTTTTGTACAAAAAAGAACGTTGTTCAGAAAACACCACTGAGTTCTTACAGGTGAGTAAAACAATATTCCATAGCTTGGTCATATGATTATGACTAAGCTTGGTCATATGATTATAACTAGTAACTGGTAGGACTGGAATTCAAATATTGGCCCATTTTATAGTAAATATTGATGCTTGACTTAGTGCTCTAAATCTTTAATACTTCAATGAGAACTTATGCCAGAGTGAAGACCACTGCCATTCTTCCTCTAGAGTTGACAGGCTTTCTATTGAATGCATAGTTCTTTCCTACTAAACTTTGCCATCACTTTCACTAAGAAGTAAAGAAAATAATGCTCACAAGTTTCATATTAAATCTTGCTGACTTTCAAAAAACATAAAAAAATGAAAGAACTGCTCCCTAACGAGAATTATTACTGAACAGTTTCATATGTCAAATATAAATATTTCAATTTAATAGATAAGATGTTATTGTTCAATAAAAGGATTAAGTCCCAGGTTTCAACTGTGGTAGGGTGATTAGAGTTGGCCATAAACATCACATATTTCAAAAGAAATACAAGAAATGCTATTGAATACACTATACAGAAAAAAATATTAAAGGTTTAAATGATAGATGTTGTAATTACCCAGATTGTAATAAACACATGTGCTAACACATCATGTTGTCACCATAAGAATGCACCACGTTTGTGCGTCAGTCAAAACTGAACAAATAAAAACTTAAAAGTAAGGGGGAAATTTTGAATGTGATGAAACTAAAATAAAACCGGGTTCCAATGGTTCACACCTGTAATCCTAGCTACTCAAAAGGCTGGGACTTGAAGGATCATGGTTCAGGAAAAGGCTGAAAAGAAAAATTTGAGGACTCTATCTCCAATTAGCCAGCAAAATGCTAGATTGGAGGCATGGTTCAAGTGGTAGGGTTCTGACCATGAGTGAAAAAGCTGAGAATTCAAACAAATATTTTTATAAGTGACTATGACAAGAACAAGATTTTCTTTACATTCTCCAGACCATAACTGTTGAAACTAATATGCAAAACATACACCAGTTTTTAAAGTTGCAGTCTCAAACGCACATGCTAATAGTCCAGTTTGCATTACCTTAGGCAATTTTGACTTGGTTTCAGGTTTTTCTTTGGTAACAGAGTCATTAATGAGGCGAGATCGGTCATAATTAGCATGTTCTGATTCTTCCAGGTAAGTTTTATCTTTACCTAGGGCTACAAAAGAGTAAAAATAAGTTATATTCATTTTAGTCTACGTTCTGCTATTTTTTTTAATGTATTTGTCTCTCTTTCCCTGAGGTTTAGCCAAATATACTTTTCACATAATAGACTCACTCAAAGAATTAGCACACCAAATGACAGTTTGGCAGCTACCATATTAATACTGATAGCCCAAGTGACTTTCTCAAGAATTAAATGAATCTGTTAGGTAGTATACATAAACTTTCTGAAAATAAAAATAGAACTAAGGATACAACATTGAATACACTGTCTCTTCTGAACAGGAAGACACGGAAATTTGTAAAAACAGAAAATAACATTGCATACTTAAAATGACATTACTTTTGAGTTTTGTTTTCTTAAAAGTTGGGAAACTTTAGCAACACAAATTTGGCTAAAGGGTGCAGGAAGATTATAAAGAAGAGGCATAAAAGAAAATATTTGTTCAGAGCTTTATATGAAAGGTAAAAATTAGGTTGAAAGTATGGTTATCAGAGGAAAGAAAACAAAAATGGTTATTACTATTAGAATGGTAAAGATATATGTGACATAATAATATTAGTTGCATATAAAATTGCTGAGAAAAGTAATCTATAATCAATGTAAAAGTAAAAATAGCAAATGTTTATAGCAATTGCAAATAAAACCAAGAACAATTGATTTATGTTCAAAAATTATTCCATGTGATACAAATATCTTTGTTGCCAAAATAGATTGTTATATATTTAGCATTTTCATAAAAATCAAAATGTTTTGAAGAGTTATTTTATGAAATATGTTGTAATCAATCACACATGAGTTTTGACATGAATGACTATATATAGTTCTTTTAAGGTTTATTAATTTGACTTACTATAGCAAAAAAGACTTTTGTTTATAGTACATGCACTCATTTTTTACTAGAAAGGTTTAAAATCTGCTCTCATAAGATATATTGTACTGTGTAAAGCCAATGGGGTGACTTTAACAGTGCTACAAACAAAGGCTGTACATATTATATCATTGGGTGCAATGAACCATCAGTCATGTTACAATAATCTATGTATGTAATGTTTATACCGAGACTTATAAATAGCACTTTGCATAAACCAATAGTTAATATTACTAAATGCATAAACTCAATAAGTTTATGGAATGTCTATGATTTTCTGGGACATTTAATAATAAGTAAACTAAGGCAGGCGACAAAGGCATGGACAATCACTAAACTAGTTAGAAGTGTATCTAAAGCTGAAACATATTTGGATTGACCTCTGAATTTAGTATTTGTGAAAATGATATAATATTCCTCTAGATTTAAACAAACTACATTTCATCCGCTTACCCATTATTTATTAAATGCCAAGGTCATATATAACAGTCTTCAGACTTGGAGGTGTACCAGGATAACAACCTGCCTCCGTAGAACATTCAAGAAAGAGGGAAAATGATCTTTAAAAAATATCAGGTAAAATGATAATTACATCTTGTGGTCAGAACAGTAGAGAAAAATGAAAAACGCAGTAGGAGGGACCAAGGCAATAGGGGAGTGTTCTTTTAATAAAGAGAATAGTAATGCCATTGGAGAATAGATTTGAAGAGGTAAAACAGTGAGTCAGGAAAAGGGGCCTGAAGGTGTCAAGACAGGTTTCAGTACAGTACCAAAGTGTAGACTTCCATCAGCCTCTTACAAAAAAGACAGGAAGAAACTGAATGCTTGAGCCTAAAGTGATGGAGATGCTAATTAAACCCTGATGTCTTCAACTTGACAGTTTCCATTATCAATATAAATTGTATCAAAAGTCTTGGAACAAAACTTGTCAATATGTTTCAAAAACAGCCACAGACATCAATCCTAAAATTGTAACTGAAAAGAAAGAAAAGTTACATCAAAAGGAAGTTCCTCCAAGCTTCTGAACAACAGAAGAGAAATAACTGCAACCTTAATAAACAGAAACTGAAAAGTGATCTTGACTCCCTTTCTCCTATGCTCTCCATGGAATCCTCTGCAAGTAATCTTTCTGGCTTTCCAATCAGCATCAATTATTCTTTTTGCTCTACTCTTTAGAAAACCACTGCATACAATATGACATAGCTTTTCCAATTTATGATAATTTAATATGTTTCCATTATTAAGGTACTTTTGTCATTCTTTTGTAATATTATATTGTTGGTGTAGGAGGCTCTCTGCAAATGAATAAAGGAACTCAGAGAAGAATTTGAAATGTATAATGAAAGTTTGTGTCCTCTTCCATGCACTTGGTGACTTTTTTTTATATCCTTAACACTAGTGTGAAATTTTTTTTTAATTTTATTTTGTTGTAAAGATGCTGTACACAGGGGTTAGAGTTATATGAATTAGGTAGTGAGTACATTTTTAAATTAAGTTTTATTGTGAAAATACAGTTACATGGCAAGGTAATGAGTACATTTGTTATCCAGCAATTTTTTGCCTCCTCCTTTGTTTTTCCCTTACCATCTCTTTCTCTACACCTCCTCAGCTACACTCCCTCACCTCTCCAGCATTTTTACCCCCTCCTTTGTTTTTCTTCTACTGTCCCTTCCCTCCCCTACTTCCCCCACTTCTGCCTCCACTCCCACCCCACCCTACCAGAAGTTGCAAACTTCATTTCCTACATAGTGTCTTGTGACTCTCATTGTTGCAATGGGTCATCCTGTGTCTTTCTTTGTTTCAGCATTTTATTATTCCCCTTCCCCTCTCCAAATTAAATAAGTGTATATACAAGATGCAGAGTAAACACGTTTATTTTTATTTTTTATTGCCAAGGAGATGTACAGAGGGATTTCAGTTACATAAGTAAGAGAATGAGTACACTTCTCGTCAACCTTGTTACTCCTTCCCTCAATTTTCTCCTACTTTCCCTCCCCCTGCAAGTTGTACAGATCATTTACAACATATTGTCTTGTGTATATTGCTGTTGCATTGGTTGCTCCTTGTTCTTTGTCTCATCATTCTTTGTTTCCCTTCCCTTCCCTAATTCAAATAAACTTGTGTACAAAACCAGGTTACTAAAATCAAATACACTAACAACAGAGGATATATTATTGGTGGAAGAGAGCAGAAAATCACATATAGTACATTAAAAACAACAACAACAAAGAGAAACCTCTTGTGTCCATGTCTTGGGGTTTATTTCACTTAGCATAATCTTAAATGGTCATATTAAAGCTACCAGCACAACTATGTTTATCACAGCATTTCAACATAGCTAAGATGTGGATTCAACCCAGATGCCCCTCAGTAGATGAATGGATCAAGGAAATGTGATACACACACACACACACACACACACACACACACACACACACACACACACACACACAATGAAATTCTATGTTTCCATCAGAAAGAAAGACATCACCCCATTTCTAAGGAAATGGAAAGATTTGGAAAAAATCATCTTAAGTGAAGTAAGCCAGACCCAAAGAAATATAGGTCCCATGGTTTCCCTTATAGTATATGTGTAGGATAATCTTAACTGATGAGCAGAATAGCTATGTACACTTGGTGCTATTTTTAAAAAATCATTACTAATAATGATCTTGTCCAGGATTTCCAGAAGATTTGAGGCTGCATATTAAAATGAGTGAAAGAAGGTAATATATGGTTAAAATACTTTAAGTAAATGTGTGCAAACCAAGGTTTTGGAGATTTGTTTGGGAAATAGGAAATGAAGATGGGAAAGTGATATGGAAGGGATGAATCTGAAGAAGGTACGTATATGCATTTTGAAATCCCCTGGTACAACCAATTGATGGTAATAACATATAATTGTATATAAGTAGCCTTAAGGAAATATTAATGTTTATCTTCCTACTTTGGCATTTTGTTCACATTTTGTAAATAGTCTCTCATTTACATCTCACAAACCTGTTACCTTTATTCTACACCATCTTGAGAGTACAAGAAAGAATAAACAATTATACTGATATTTCCATTTCATGAATCAGAAACTGAAGTACAGATGGTTTGTACTTAGGTAGGAAGAGTTGATACTTAACATTGTGGCCAACTAGCTACCAAAAAAAGATCTAATAATTTTAAAGAACAATTATTCTCTCATAAAGATTCTTTTTTTATTTTATTGTAAAGATGATGCACAGAGGGGTTTCAGTTACATGAGTAAGGTCATGAGTACATTTCTTGTTGAACATTCTTAGCAACTCCTTTGATATTCTCCCCTATCCCTTCCCTCCCCCAGTCTTCCTGAAGTTGTAAAGCTCATTTCCGATAGTGTCTTGTGGGTATCATTATTGCAATAGGTCATCCTTTGTCCTTTCAGCATTTTGTTATTACCCCTTCCCTTCCCCAAATCAGATAAATGTATATACCAGACTGAGTGTACCAGAATCAAAGACACAGATTGCTAGGGATAAACCAATAGAAAAAGAAAAATGAAATGCAATAAGAAGAAAGATCTAGATACATGAAAAATAACTCTATAGATGGTCCATATAAGAAAGTTTGATGAGGTAGCTGTTATTTTCATTTCTATACCCTCTATCTTGCATATAAGTCTATCTGATTTGGGGAGGAGAAGGGGAAACACAGATATGATAGGACAAAGGGAATTCAGTAGTGATATTCACTAGACACTATGTTGTGAATGAACTACAAAACTTGTGGGAGGAGGGGATGGGAGGGCAAAAACTGGGAGAGAACAAGGGAAGGGGTGACTATGCAAAAGGAAATGTACTCATTACCTGACTTATGTAACTGTCACCCTCTGTACATCACCTTTACAATAAAATTCAAAGAAAACACAATTGGAAGGAGCTAATATTAGGTAAAGATAAAAATAATGATGACAAGTAAATTGATATGGGACAGAAAGTGAAGTTGACATGCATCTGGAGGGCCCTGGGATTAGAACAAGTTTATTATGAACAAGGAACACAAGAAGGTTACACTGACTGCAGCGCTGTGAGTAAAAGGAAACATTAGGAACTATCCTGGAGAGAACAGACCCAGATTCTGTCAGGCCTCTGAAGGCACAGCCAGTTTATATTTTAAATGCAATAGGAAACCCTGGAGGGACTGAAGTAGAGAAGTGATGAGATTTAATTTTCCTTTTATTAAAGCTCCCTGTAACTGCTTTTCAGAAATACATTATAAAGAGGCAAGACTTTGAGCAAAGAGAGCAGTTAGAAAAATATTGCACCAGTCTATTGAGAGAATTAGCTGAGAACACCAGCTAGAAATGTGATGAGGAATGGCCAGATTTTAGATATACATGGAAAATTGTGCCAAGAAAATTTGTTGAAGTTATTTAATAAACAACTAAAATATTTATACCAATAATTAGTATAGAGAGTATGAAGTTTTCCATACAACATACTTACTTCTATACTCCTCAGATTGGTTTGGACCATTAGTAGAAAAGTTCTTTCTTGCCGGGCGCTGGTGGCTCACGCCTGTAATCCTAGCTACTCAGGAGGCTGAGATCTGAGGATCGCGGTTCAAAGCCAGCCCGGGCAGGAAAGACCGTGAGACTCCTATCTCCAATAAACCACCAGAAAACCGGAAGTGGCGCTGTAGCTCAAGTGGTAGAGCGCTGGCCTTGAGCTGAAGAGCTGAAGGACAGCGCCCAGGCCCAGAGTTCAAGCCCCACGACCGACAAAAAAAAAAAAAAAAAGAAAGAAAAGTTCTTTCTTATAGCATGTTAATATGAAACATTGGGGAAAAAAAAGATGGGAATTGGTAAAACTGATTATATAATGAAGAAATTACCAGGTGCTTATTTGACAACACAAATCATCAATGCTTCAATGATTTTCATTATTAATTGAACTTCTTTGGCATTTAATTGGTATTTATAGATTTTTAGGTAGAGCTTTGCAGGCCTGAAGGTCATGACCCCATAAGCATGCACACACACAAAGGATTATTGACCAATCTCTTGGCAAACATAGAACACAAATTCTCAATAACATGTTTGCTAACTGAATTCAACAATACAGTAAAAATATCATACAACACAATCAGGTTGGTTTGATTCCAGGCATGCAAAGATGATTCAACATAGTAAAATCTATAAATGTAATACAGCATGTAAACTGGATCAAGGAGGAAAGAAATTCATATGACCATCTCAACTGTTACAAAAAAAAAGCCTTTGAAAAAAGCAACAATATACTTTTATGAAGAAATTAAAAATACTGTGAATGTTTCTCAACATAATAAAGACCATATGTGATAAACATATGGCCAACATCATACTAGATAGGTTAACATTAGTTGCTTTAAAATAAGGAAAAAGAGGGCTAGGAAGGTGGCTCAGTGGTAGAGTGCTTGTCTTGCGTGCATGAGGCCCTGGGTTCGATTCCTCAGCACCACATAAGCAAAAAAGAAAAAAAACGGAAGTGGCGCTGTGGCTCAAGCGGTAGAGCGCTAGCCTTAAGCTGAAGAGCTGAGGGACAGCGCCCAGTCCTAGAGTTCAGGCCCCACAACTGAACCAAAAAAAAAGGAAAAAGAAAATGGTATCCATTCTCCCCTTCTCCCATTCTTATTTAACACAATATTGAAATGCCTATCCATGCAATAAGGCAAGATAAAGACACATAAAGAGTTCAAATAAGAAAATATCTCAAATTGTCCTTATAGATAATATGATCTGGTAATTAAAGGATCCAAACAATTAAGCCAAAAGATCTCTAGATTGGATAACCATGTTTACAATGGAGGAGCACACAATCAACACACACACACACACACACACACATATACACACACACACACCAGTAGGTTTTCTGCACACCAACAACAGGCTGAAAAATAAATCAGGAAAACAATTCTTTTAGTATAACCACCAAAACCAAAACCAAAACATCTAGTTTTCACCCATTCATTCTTTTCTCTCAGGCATTCTTAATGTAAGGGTATACTCGAAGTCAAAAGAATCACAGACCTTCCTACATAGCCCTCATATCTATCTATCTATCTATCTGTCTATCTGTCTGTCTGTCTGTCTGTCTGTCTGTCCATCTATTGGTCTATCTATTTTTTGTCTGTTTGGGGCTTGAACCTAGGACCTGGGCATTCTCCTTGAGTGCCCAAGGCTATGCTCTATCACTTTGAGCCACAGGACCACTTCTGATTTTCCCGTAGTTAATCAAAGATAAAGAGTCTCATGATGAGACTTTCCTGCCCTGGCTGGCTTCAAACCTCAATCCTCAGATCTCAGCCTCTTGAGTAACTAGGACTATAGGGGTGAGCCACTGCACCAGGCTCAGAGCCCTCATTTTGAAGAAAAGAAATATTAATCCTTAATGAAACACTGACCACATGCAGTTAATTCTGAGAAAGCATTAACATTTTTATGGGACAGCTCAAATTAGTTCATTGTAAAAAAAGAAAGCAATTAATGAGATGTCAGGTATGGGACTCTTGGTAGTTGGAAATTTTTTAAAACAATATTCAAGCTGGTAATCTACACTCTAAAAGCAAATTAGGGAAGGTGATTGCTTTGCATTCAAAAGAGAACATGTACTGCTAAAACACTCATGTTTTACTTAATTATACTCATGATACAGCTGGCCTTATTTTATTTGATCTCTTCTGGAAAATGATGGAAGCACTCTTCTTGTTCACATGCAGCTGAACTTAAATGAATGTTCCCAAACAGGTGCCACATCCAGAAGGATTCTGAGAATACTTAGAGTTACTACAGTCAGCTAGAAAACCACCTGCAATTCTGTCATAAAGCAAACACACCATCGCTCAATGTGTTCTAACCTTTTTAGGAGATGTGAGGTAATGGTAGAATGTTACTGATAGAATTTAAGACATCAAATATGAGGTGCTGTCCAAATAATTAAGATACATTGAAATGAAAAAGACAGAATGTTTGAATCAGGACATCTGATTATGCCATGTTTAGAAAAATTACTTCTAAATTTGGAAAAGTACACTTTCAAAAATAAGATTCATGTTCTTGAAGTAAAATGTTTACATATCTATAGTGGATGATAAAAAATAAATGATGCTAATTTGGGTGAATGGTTAGGAAACTTTTGTTGATATATTGGACAGAGAAAAGTTTAAGTTTGTTTTGTTTTTGATTTTTTCATTCAGAAGATAGGTGATAAATTGCTTTTTCCTTTAGAATTACTTAATTATAATGGAAAGCCCTTTATATTTTGACACAATGAGCTCTTAATAAGAGGTGTGGTTTCTATCACACACACACACACACACACACACACACACACACACACACACACACACGAAAGAATCATGACTAATTTTCCGTTCTTTCAGAATGTAATCATAAATAACACCTTTCATAGGTTTAAGATGATGAAAAATGTTTGAATGTCCTCAGAGAGAAACAAAGATACCATCATTAGACTAGAAAATTTTAATCTTGGCCACTCTTTATGGTTACCTGAAGAATAATGAAAAAAATATAGATATCTCTTTGCTCCTCAGATGAATTAAACTGATTATATGGAACTTAGATCAGGGAAATTTCACAGCTCCCAAGAGACGTGAAAGTATAAGCAGAGTTAAAATATCTGATATAGGTACTAAAGCCAGACCTACAATGTTTCCACTATTGAAAACACAGGACTTAATTTCTGCTAATCAGAAATAAATTCACTTTGAAGTTGCAAAATAGGTCTTTGTATATATTAATGTTCCTTTTTGATTGACTCTACCTTTACTTATTTCTATGTAACTTCATTTTTTGTGTGAGATTCATTGTTCCTTACAAACTGCTTTACATGATTCAAATTTTAATTTGTACATTAAATAGCATGATCACCTTGAACCTCAGAATAATAATGTTAACTCTCAAATGTTAAAGACAAAACATGAGCATTTTTTTCCTTAAAAATGTTCTACTTTTAAAGGACACAGCTGATAGCTGATATTTGGAGGTAAAAGAGGAAGGACATATTGGAAATTCACTCACCCAAGCAAAAATCACTGAGGTCAGCAAAGGAACATTTCAGTCCAGAATCCTTTTTATTGTCCTCAAGGTTAGCTGATCCAAAATAAAACAAACAAAAATGCCTCAGTGAACTCTGATCTTGCCTTTCCATGGAATTATTCTATTTGAGATATCTGTTGAACATATCTTATTTCAGTTAATATATTTGTATATACTTACATACCACCCAATGTTCATTAAAATAAAACACCAGGAAGCAGGTACAGGAGAGAGCTGAGGTGGGGTTAAAGGGAAAGGAGTAGATAAATGAAGAGGAGAAGAGTGAGAGAATGCAATCTAGAATCAATGTATAACCTACAAAGTTAAGAAGAGTGAGGAAAGGGGTGGGTAAGGGAGGGATGGGTGAGAATGTTGAAAGAGGTGACACTGATCAAGGTATATTGTATTCATAAACTGTTTTATTAAATGACAACTCCTTGGTACAATGGCGTAAAGATAATAATACAAAAAAGATTACAAAATCAGTGAAACACTTCATAGTTCAAGCAAAGGGCCAGAAGAGAGCCATGCAGTCTGATATTCAATTAGTGGCCTATTATGAAGAAAATTTTAAGATAATGATTTGAAATTGTTTGAATTCACTCTCATTGAGGGAAAGAAACACCTGCATACTGGCTTTAATTCACTATTTATAATGCATTCTGTTATTTCTGTGTTTGTGCAAAAGACATTGCTACTTTCAAGTTATGTAAGTATAAATGTAATTCACAGGAATTATGAGGAAATACACTCTGATAGGAAGAAAGCTTGGAAAGAATGAAAAAAAATCTACTGAGTTACAGGAAAAAATTACATTGTCACTTGACTTTTTTGGAAAAGATTCTCTAATGAGCCATTAAAGTGTCTCAGATGGGCAAATAGGTGGATATAAGTGTCTCACTTTAGCACCAAAGTTCTTTTTTTAACATATCATACAGGTTGGCTGTACCTAAATTTTAGCTCTTTCTTGGAACATTTTATGGCCAACATGAATTCATGTGCCTGCAACCAAATAGTAAGTGCGTTGTAGAAGTTAGTATAAACAAAAATGTTTGATGTTTCTTTGTTGCTACTAGTATATATTGATATGTAAATCTGTACTATTTTTACATTATTCTACATGCATGTATTGTGCTATGATCATATTCAAACTCTACCATTTCCCTCTCTTCTCTTCCATTTCTCCTGTTTATATGAATAGTGAATTTTAGGGTTGTTTTTTCTAGTCTTGTAGAAAATGTATTTAATTTTGATGTCTATGGCATTAAATTAATGCTATTCTATCCTAGTATTTTATTATTTTCAGTCTATATAACTTTTGGGTTGTATGTATTTTTCTATTTATTTGTGGATTTTTTTCATTTGTTTGTTTGTTGCCAGTATAAGAGTTTGGTTGACTTGTTTGCTTGGCTAGAACCCTAGCATTTAACTATTTCGCCTATTTTGGAGATAAATATGGATTTGGAACATAATTGTCTGTATCATATCCCCAAGTAGCTAAAATTATAGACTTGAGAGACTGGCATTTTCTGCATCTATTAAGGTGATTTGATGGGGGAAGGGGGCAGTCTAAGGTTATATTTGCATACTTACTTGTATTTATTGATTTGTATATGTTGATGTATCCTTAAAACCCTGTAACAAAGCAGTTCAATTGTTGGGTAGATTAAGTTATTCTTGAATTGAAACATTTTAAAATTATATTTTATTATCTTTAAATAGTAGTAAAAAGGGGGTTCCAGTTCATCCTGTTAGTTTATGACTCTGATGAGTCTTGATCAATACCACCCCTTCTGTTCTATCTTCTAGTGTAGACAATAAATATTAGGTTCATATTCCCATAAGATTGTCCATTTGCAAAGCAAAGAAGGAATTAAAAGACATCTGGCCAATAAATGTCCTTTCATCTGACTTGTACAAAATACATTTCTCTGTATTATGTAGACTTTCTCCTCAGGATCTCTACAGACACTAGCCAAAAGGAAAAGGAAGGAATTTAATGAAAACAATAAGAAGAAAATAGTAATTGTTGCTTACCAAGGTCTACTTTGTCAGCAGAAATTAAGGTTACAGAAGTGGGAGGCTGAGATTCACTTTCGGTTGACTGGAAGAGTGAAGTTGATTGGCTCAAGCTCTTGGAATGAGCGTAGCTCTGGGCAAGGCATGGTAGAGATCTCCGAGATGGCTTTAATGAGGTTTCTTTCATAATCTCACTTTTGCTTATATTCATACCTAAAAATTTAATACAGTGAATGTTAGTAACAAATGGTAATTATCAAAGGTCAATAAGTAATGTTAGCGGTAATGATTTGTTGTTTTTAAGAAATGTGCTCCAGAGAAGTAATGACTAGATTTTAAAACTAGTTGGTTTTATTCCTATTTTGCCAAGGGAAGTGTTTGAAATTCTTGTCAAATAGATCTGAGAAATAAACAACTCTTTCAGTTTAAATTTTCACAATTTTTTAAAGATTCTGGGGAAAAATCAACTGGGTGGATATTTCAGGAGGTATGACAGCAATGACTTGAATAAATTTAACTTTGTATGTGGGCAAGCAGCAAAATACCTAAATTTGAATGCATTCAAGTCACTAGTAGTGGACAAATTACTTTTTTCCCCCATATATTTTAAGCACATAAATAGTGCACAAACAGTGATTTAGAGGATGAAAATGGAGAGCATGACATAATATAAAAATTGTTCATCAACATGGGTTATAAGAGAACATTCTGTCATTTTAGGCAGAAAGGTTGAGCTCTTAGATACAAGAGTGGAGTTAAAGGGAAATGGGTAGAGGGTGAAAAGGAGAATAGGAGCAGAAGGTAGTCAAGAACAAATTCAACACTGGTATTCACTATTGAAAGTGAACCATACATCTTGTGGGTGGGGACAGGAGGAAAAAAACTGGGAGAGAGCAAGGGAAAGGAAGACATGGTTCAAAAAGAATTGTACTTATTACTTATTACATGTAACTCTAAACCCTCTATATATCACCTCTACAATAACAATAAAATAAAATAAAACACTAAAATACAATAAAAAAGAATTCATCTTACAAAATAAAGAAGACTCAGGTGCTGGTGGCTCATACCTGTAATCCTAGCTACTCAAGAGATTGACATCTGAGGATTGCGGTTCACAGCCAGCCCTGGCAGGAAAGTCTGTGAGACTCTCAACTCCAATTAAACACCAGAAAACCAAAAGTGGTGCTGTGGCTTAAGTGGTAGAGCACTTGCCTTGAGCTGAGTAGCTCAGAGACAGTGCCCAGACCCAGAGTTCAAGCAACACAACCGACAAAATATAAATAAATAAATAATAACACAGAAGAGTTAAGGAAAGGGGTGAGTGGGAAGAGATGGGTCAGAATATTGAAAGTGTTGACATGCACCAAAATGCATAGTATTCATAAACTGCTTTGTTAAATGGCAATTTCATTGTACATCCACTTAATAATAGTCAAAAAAGAAGAAAAATAATGTCTTTGAACATGACTCTGCCTCCATAAACAGAAACATCCATACTTTGCTCTCTGGCAACTAACAGTCCCAATTTCCTGCATTCATCCATCTTCACCTTTATCATCAATCCCAGAAAAATGTACATGCTTAGAAGTCTAATCTACAGGTCTCCAAACTGCCTTTTCTGAGAGCATAGTACATTCAGAATATCCCATCATGATTCTGAGAGTTCATGTACAATATAATGTAGTGTACCTAACAACCTCCCCAACTTTTCTTGGGGATAACAGTTTCATTCATTACCTCATCCATACCAAATGCTACCCTATATCTTTCATCAACCACACTGCTTCCTTTATTGCCACCTTTAATGGAGGCCTAGGTGGAACCAAAGCCCCATAAACTCAATTTAATCTGTCTTGAAATGGAATAGATATCTCCTAGTTACTATGTTTCTCTCAACTAATTTTCTTCATCCTTTATCTCATAAAAACAATTTTATAATTCTATGTTACTGCCATTGAACTATTCCTCAACTCAGCCTTGCTATAGTTATTTTCGTGTACTCCATCAGTTTGTAATGAATTTAATTTCTAAGTCACATCTGTCTGGTTTATTTTCTATTTAGCACTTTCATCCATCTAAACCCTGTATTTTATTCACTTGTTAAATTTATAGAAAATGCCCTAAAACGCAACCTCCAGGGTGTACTGATTTTAATCTTTTTTGTATCATCTTTTTCTTTTTTTTTCTTTTAATTTTATGTCAAGGTGATGTACAGAGGGGTTGCAGTTACATAAGTAAGGTAGTGAGTATACTTCTTGTCGAACTTGTTACCATCCCATTTCTCCCTCTTTCCCACTCCCCTGCTCCAAGTTGTACAGATCTTTTCCAATCCAACAGCGAAATAAAACCAACATGATTCCTTGAAGGTCTCACCAAAGATTTGTTGGCCAAATATGTATTTGCATGAAGGTCAGCTGCCTTTGTCCATGACACTGTGTGTGCCTTATGCACAGGTTTGTTTGTTATTGTATTTATATCACTATTGTTTAGCGCTAATACATGCAACCTAAGAGGTGTCTCAAAAATGTTCCTGGAATCTGTACTTGGTATGACTCTCAGTTCCTACAATCATTTTGTTTCTTCAGTAAGACTATAAAGCAGCACAATGAGGACACTATTTTAAGAGTGCATCTTGAATAGAATTCAAAGCTGTGAAGTATTTATCAGAAAATGGATATTATAATCCTGGAGTTCCATACACCTGTAAAATGATGAAGTTACAGAGCTGCTTACTGAACTATTCTCAAAGAGTTTCTGATTTGCATGTTGGTTAAACATTTGAGTATCCATTTCTGTATGATGGGAAACTGTGAAATTGTTTCACATCAGTGCTGGGTTTGAACCTAATGCCACACAGGGCAAAAGGACTTTATATGTTGGCTTTTGTGACTGGTGCACTTTATCTATTAGTTTTAAGGATTATGTCTTTATTTTACCAATCTCAAAACAGTTCCAAATCAGTCTCTTCCCTAAAAAATGTCAATGTTATCAGTTTACTGGTGTTTATGTATATACATATGCTCATATACATAAATATGTTAACAATATAACTTTTTTATAATAAAGGAAGCATACAATTCTTTGTTAAACATTTGCTCCTTTAATATTTCTTGGATACCTTCCATTTAAGTACACAGATATTTAAATGGAACTGAATACTTAATAGATACTTAAAATATACAGTATACAGACCTGTCTCAGATTTTTTTAAACCACTACAAAATAGTCCTCCTATGGACAAGACACAGCTTACTTGATCATTCACTTGTCAATGACCATTTAGGTCTTTTCAATAGTTCACTTTTAAAAGAATGCTGCCATGAATCTTTAAAATAATTCCATGCTTCTTTTCCAGCACATTGAGTATTTTCTAGGAAGGAATGCTTAGATGTAGAATTGCTTGGTTAAAGACTATGAATATTTATCATGTGGATAAATAGTGCCAAAATGTCCTTCCTAAAATATTTATCTTTCACACTTGCAAAAATAGTTTAAGATAGGCTGTGGTTCCTTATGCCTTATCCAACTTCACATAACACCGACTGTCTTAGTTTTAGACAAAATATAAAGGCAGTACACAAAAAGGACAAAAGCATCCTGATAATTTTAATTTGTATTTTACAGATTGAGCAGGTTTTCACAAGCACTTTATATAGATATTTACTTATTCATTTGAAGAAATTCTATGCACTTAGCTATTTATGTTGCTATAAATTATATGCAATGCAGGCATATACTTTACTTACTTTTCTGAAATTCTTACAAGGCAGACACTGTGATTTGTATTAACTATATGGAAACTGGGAATACAGAGGAAAAATAAAATGTCCCAAGTCATACATTTAAGTGAGCACTTACACTTATTTACTGCATATGCATTTATTATATTTACATTTAAATAATATTTTAGCTCTAAATCTGCCTCAAGATATAAACCTTTATTTTAGTTTGAAAAGTCCTAAAATACCATCCATTCACTTTAAATTCCATAGTCCCTGAGAGGTCCATATTTTAGTAAAGAGCATAAAGAGAGGAACATAATTGTAAACAAAATCACATCCTATGTATTTACCTTTCCTTCTCACACATCATCTTACATATGTGACACAAAGATATTGCTGAGAACCTGAATAGTATATTACCAAACCCAATATATTACTGAACATAGTATACCTCTTGGTATACTATATCTTGTCTGTAATCCATACCCTGGATAGGAAATAAATATATTAAGAAGAGTAGGAGATTAATAATAATAGCCAATATTCAAATATAATTACAATATAGTGTAATACAAAATATAATTATAAGAATGTGCATTAAAACAATGTTTTAATATTGATGTAAATATTCTTAATAACTAAATATTATTTATTATTAAGAATATTTAATATATACAATAATGTATATTCTATAATAACAGTAAACTTTCCTGTTATTTACAAGAGTCAGAAACGATCACTCTGGGACAAATATAGGAACCTGGTGACAAAGCTGGTAGAGAGGTGGGTGCCCTTGGGTCACACCTATAATCTTATCTATCTGGAGAGAGAGAGAGAGAGAGAGAGAGAGAGAGAGAGAGAGAGAGAGAGAGAGAGAGAGAGATCTGAGGAAAGCCACACAGGGCAGGAAAATCCTTGAGACTCTTATCTCCAGTTAACAACAAGAAAACAGGAAGTGGTGTTGTTGCTCAAAGTGGTTGAGTGAAGACCTTGAGCTGAAGAGCTCAGAGATAGCACCCAGACCCTGAGTTCAAGCCACAGGACAGATGAAAACCAAAGGGGTCAGTGGAAAAATCTAGTAGAAAGGATGCTCTTACCTAGAAGAGTGTAGCTCCTTAGCCTGAAGGCTAGAAGACTGGCCAGTAAGGAGACAGGAAGAAAACCATGCAAATCTCTTTCTTTGGTATATATTTTTATTGTAAAAATACTACACAGAGGGGTTACAGTTACATGAGTAAGGTAATGAGTACATTTCCTATTAAGCATTTTTACTCTCTCCTTTGTTTTTCCCCTACCATCCCTTACCACCCCCTCCAACTCCTCCCTACCCTCTTCCCCCGAGTTCATATACAACATAGTGTCTTGTACATTTCATTGTTACAATGGGTCAGCCTGTATCCTTATTTCAGCATTTTGTTATTTCCCTTCCACTCCCCAAAAAGAAAAATGTATATACAAGATGCAGGGCACTGGAATCAAATACAGTGA